TTTTGATGCTCAGACAAGCATAACACGCGCGAGCATTCAGCATTTTCCAAAATACTATTATAAGTCTACGCGGCATTGAGGACTTATTCTGACGAAGGTTGTTTTGCCTATGCTGTCACTACGGGGCACTTTCGCTCGTGTATGCCATATTGCAAAATCAACTGCAGACGTGAAATATATGGGAGAATTATGAAATATGAGTAATGTCTGTCTGGTTGGTTGTCTTTCCCTTTCTCTCTCTCTCTCTCTCTCTCTCTCTCTCTCTCTCTCTCTCTCTCTCTCTCTCTCTCTCTCTCTCTCTCTCTCTCATCTTCACTTTCTATACATACTTGACCGTCTCCTTTTTTCCCCCTCTCCCTCTCTTCTCTCTTTCTCATTCCCCCCCCTCTCTCTCTCTCTCTCTCTCTCTCTCTCTCTCTCTCTCTCTCTCTCTCTCTCTCTCTCTCTCTCTCTCTCTCTCTCTCTCTCTCCCTCTCTCTAAATTCCCACGGTTATCACCAGGCCTTGTTCGAACGCTAATGACAGCGTGATCGCCAGCTTAACGATCTTCTGGCTCGTCAATTTGCATACACAGTGTTCACCGGAATACGAGCATCCGGGAGTATGCAGTGAGCCGCGGATGAGAGAGAGAGATATGGGAGAGAGGGGGAGGGAGGGGGAGAGGGAAGAAAGGCGTAAGTGAGTGAGTGAGGTAGATATAAAAAATAGTTAGAAGAAGAGAAAAAGGAGAGAGAGAGAGAGAGAGAGAGAGAGAGAGAGAGAGAGAGAGAGAGAGAGAGAGAGAGAGGAAGAAAAGAGGGAGGAAAAAAACCCTATAGTTAAAACTGGTTCGTTTCGATAGGTCTAATGGGTCTGTAACAGAATTCGATAGTAATGTGATGTGATGGTGTTCTTGGTAAGCTAGAATGACCAAGTTGTTCGAATACTGATACTGGTTCCAACTTCGATATTGGGATGAAAAGCTGCTGCATGCTTTCGTAAATGGTCTGAACGTCCTTTACAAAACACGAATTTTACAAACCCCATACTTAAATGTAGCCAAGACCCTATGGCGCTTGAGTGATTCGCAGATCCCAGTACATCTGGAATTACTACGATAATCCCCAATCTACAGCAAAGGACTTCGGAGGTAAGGACCTGGAATAATGCCCTGAGAGAAGGACCTGGAGAAAGGTCTAGGAGGAACGACCTTGGAGAATGCCTGGAAAAAGAACTGGGCAGCAGGACCCGGAGAAGGCCCCGCAGCCAACCCGCCACCAGGAACGCTGTCTCGAGGCGTCTCACTGTACCTTTGGTGAGGATGAAGTCGGCCGCCTTGCTCCTCCAGTTCCTGGGGAGCGTGTAGAACTTCCTCTTGTGCTGCTTCTTCTTCCTTCCTGCCGCTTCTCCTTCGTCCTCGTCTCCTTCCTTCTTCTCGAGGCTGATGGCGGGGCCGAGCGTGGCCGTCTTCTCGGGGGGGAGGCGGGTCACGCACTCGGCGGAGGACGAGGCCACCTCCAGGGTGTCCACCGAGATCTCCTCGACGATGGCGCCTTCGAGGGCCGAGGGCGAGCTCGAGGGAGGGGGCTGGGCCGGAGACCGAGGGTGGGACGGGGGAGACGAGGGGGAGGAGGACGGGGAGGGGAAGGCGGACGAGGAGGAGGCTGTCGAGGACGTGGAGGAGTAGGCGTAGCGAGAGGAGGCCGGGGCGGACGGAGAGGGAGAGGGGATGAAGGCGCTCCTCTTGATCACATCGGACACCTGCCGGAGGGTGACCACATGCTTCTCGGACGGCGGCTGGACCTCGACCTCCACGCTCAGGTCCTCGACCCTAATCGTCGGGACGGGCGACGAGGAGGAGGTGGTGGCGACGGCGGCCGCGTCCTCGGGGGCCTTGGAGGTCGAGGGCTTGAGGTTGTCCTTGTCATCCTTGCGGGGGCTCTGGAGGAGCTGCTCGTCCGTGGGCTGGGGCTCAAGGCGCTCGCCCTCGTGCTGGGTCCACAGCAGCACCATCCTGGTCGGTCAAGTGGGACTCGGGGAGGAACCAAAATTTCACCGAAGTTGATCGAGTAATGTCAGAAAGGTCTCACTCACGAATGTATATCGATTCGTCTTCTATTTTTTTCTTCCTTCTTTTATTGCACTGACAACTTTATTTTTCCTCTAAAACATATATTTTTTCACAGTAAAGGAAGCAACGAATGACGCACAATCCAGAGTCACTCGGTACGCACACGTATGTATATAAAGACTTCACAGAGCACAATATCACTCACAGAAAACGCACATAATAACAAATCTGAAACAGTTGAGAGAGAAAGAGTATCAGACAACCCTCTTCTCTGAGGCGTCCCTCTCTCTCTCTTTATCTCTCTCTCTCTCTCGTTCTCTCTCTCTCTTCTACTTTCTCCTTTATTCTTCTTTCCTCTTGATGCTCTTATCCTGGTCAAGGGCTTAAGAGGAACGCGAGATGGAGACTCTTGCCTCACACCGAACTCGCCATGAGGTGTCGTCTCGCTATCTGTTGAGGGGAAGAGGGGGGGAGGGGGAAGGTAGGGGAGGAGGATAAATAGGTGGGTGAGAGAAGGATGGAAGAGGAAACGGAGGAGAGAAAGATAAATTGTTGAAAAAGAAGAAAGGGAAGAGGAAGGGAGGATAAATAGGTGGGTGAGAGAAGGATGGAAGAGGAGATGGAGGAGAGAAAGATAAAAAGATTGTTGAAAAAGAAGAAAGGGAGGGGGAAGGGAGGAGAGGAAGATAAATAGGTGGGCGAGAGAAGGATGGAAGAGGAAATGGAGGAGAGAAAGATAAAGGGGTTGTTGAAAAAGAAGAGAAAAAAAGTAAATTCAGTGATTGAAAAAAGAGAAGAGAAAGGTAAAATGATGAATAAAGGAAAAAAAAATGAAAGAGAGGGGATAAAGGAAAGTAAAAAAAAAGGGTGGGGGGAGAGAAAAAAACAAAAACAAAAATGAATTGTTAGGGATATTACACACACTTTCGGTATAACACAGATTACGTAACACACACACAAATGCCTCTATGAACCTGTCAATCTGGACTGTCATTACCGTCATGACAGGAGACACGCTTGACATCTCTCTATTGGGATGCAAAAAATGTACTGTTTCTTCCTTTCCGTGAATGTGTAAGTATCCACATGCATAGGTGTAATACGTACATGTACTGTGGTGTGTTGTATGCTGAATGGATGTCAGTTTGTGTGTGTTTGTGTGTGTGTGTGTGTGTGTGTGTGTGTGTGTGTGTGTGTGTGTGTGTGTGTGTGTGTGTGTGTGTGTGTGTGTTGACATGTGCAAATAAAGACTTTTACTTAAACAAATAAAAACTGGTTTAACTGAATGAATGAGTTGAGAATTAAATTAAGTTAAACAGGAAATTAGGCCGTTACTTTGGGAGGGGGGGGATGCATTCTATTCGTAAAAGGGCATAAGCAACAGCAACAATAAATGAATTAATACATGCAGCATAATTAGACATATAACGCTCTCTCTCTTTCTCCCACTCTCTCTCTCTCTCTCTCTCTCTCTCTCTCTCTCTCTCTCTCTCTCTCTCTCTCTCTCTCTCTTAACTATGACTGAATCTAATAAAAAGTACTATAAACAATAAATAAAAAGTATTTAACAAACAATATATACTTACAAAACTCATACAAAACATAAACCAATAAAGATAAAAAACAACATAAAAAACAAGAAACACAAACAAACATACTAACAACAAACAAATAAAACAAAACAAAAACAATTTGAAATAAAAAACAAGGGCAAACAAAATAACAGCTAACAACAAATAACAAAAATCTAACAAACAAACAAACAACATCGACATTCCATTCCCAGCGCAAGAAGGCACTTTCCATCTCACGAGAAAAGACAGACAGACAGACAGACACGCGTTTCAAGAGGCACCACCTGGAACGTGGCACCGAAACATAAACTCAGAAACACGCCGGAGAAACTTGTATTTTGTTTTCACTCTTTGAAGGAAAAAAATAATCTCCATTACTTTGTAAAAAATGATCATTTTTTTTTTCTTCACTCTTTTTTTTTTTAAACTCTCATTTTGCTTTGTTCTATTCCTTATGCATTATGGTTCTCTCCCTCTTTTTTTCTTTTGTCTCTTCTCTTTTATTCCACACTTTGCCTTATTTCCCATATCCGCTGAGTCAGAGGCACCAGCGAGGCACTATCGATGCATGGTGTCCTGATGGGGGGAGGGTAGGTAAGGGGGTAGGGGAGGAGGAGGGAAGGGGAGAGGGAGGAGAGGGGAGGAGGAGGGAAGGGGAGAGGGAGGAGAGGGGAGGAGGAGGGAAGGGGAGAGGGAGGAGAGGGGAGGAGGAGGGAAGGGGAGAGGGAGGAGAGGGAGGAGGAAGGGGAGAGGGAGGAGAGGGAGAGGGAGGAGAGGGGAGGAGGAGGGAAGGGGAGAGAGGGAGGAGAGGGGAAAGATATGGAAAAGATCTGGGATGGTATAAGGTAGGGCATAGGGTAAGGGAGAAGAAGGGTGGAGGGGGGAGAGGGAAAGGAGACAGGTAGAAGGGAGGGGAGAGGTTGGGTAGGAGAAAGGGAGGGCATGGGGGTAAGGCAGGGAATAGAGGAGAGGGCTATGCTTGCCCTATAATTAAAACAACCCAGGAAAATAACAAAGCTCGCAATCAAAATCTTCTTCATTACTAGAAATCAATAACTATGAATAAAATCGTCCGTTTCGAAAGGATGGAAACCTAGTGAGCAGCCTCCTGTGCGTTCATGCCTTAAAAAGAAAACGGGATTTTCACTCGAAGAAAATGACATGCGTGTTGTGATTTCGAGATTTCTCTTTTCCTTGATTATCAGGGTCTTTCTCTTTGCTTTTCCTTTGATTTGTGTTTATCACTCGGTGGGTAAGGATAACGAATGAACGCGCGCACACACACACACACACACAAGCGCACACACACACACACACACGCGCACACACACACACACACACACATCTTTATCTATGTAACAAAATAACTGTTTCAGGTTCCCTATTCCTGTTTTTTTTTTCTCTCCAATTGAACTTGTTCCAATGTACCATTTGCCTATATATTATAAAGTTTTTTTTTCTAGTTTTCCAATTTTCCTCTATTCAAAATATGCCTCCTTCCATCACCTTGTCTTAACTATTAATAATAATGATGACAATAATTATGACAATGACAACAGTAATAACAATAACAAGAACAACTATAACAATAGTAAAAACAACAATAATGATAGTAATAACAATAATGAAAATAATAACAAGAAATCCCTCCTGTTTATAATCCCAGAAGAGATTCCTTCGCGTTTTTCTTCTTTCATTAATCATTAATTAATCATTTTCTGTTTCCTTTCGTCCATCTCATTCAGGAAATAATGAGTGTCCTCCTGGTCCTATGTCATCTTCGTAAAGACAAGCGAATAGACTTGTTTTCATTACAACTCCAAAACGTGACTAATTTTTTGGCGGAAATTCCTAAAAATTTTCGTTTCTTTCAAAGGGTCAGAGGTCAGCGGTGTTCTCGAGTGTTGAAGAACGTGCGAAAGTGTGATTCTGTGCGTGTGCGTGAGTGTGTGAGTCTGTGTGTGTGTATGTGTGCGTGTGTGTATGTGTGAATGTGTGTGTGTGTGTGTGTGTGTGTGTGTGTGTGTGTGTGTGTGTGTGTGTGTGTGTGTGTGTGTGTGTGTGTGTGTGTGCATGTATTCGAGTTCGTGTGCATTCCCGTGTAAGTAACCCTATTATCTGTAAGAATGTTTAAACCTGAGTATCAGATCATATGCGCATTCAAGAATATACATGAGACATGTACACGTAACACTCTCACTCCCACCTCATCCCCCATCTCTCTCTCCCTCCCTCTACCCTCTTTCTCCCCTCCTCCCTCTCTCCTCTTTCTCCCTCCCCCCTCACCCCTCTTTCTCCCTCCTCCCTCTCTCCTCTTTCTCCCTTCCTCCCTCCCTCCCCCTCTCCCCACATCAAAACCCCTAACGGAAAGCTTAACGACGAAGCACCCCCCCTCCCCACCCCCACAGAATACCCTCACCCCCACAGAATACCCCAAAGAAACGCAACGCCCCCCAGACTCAGGCCTAACCCTACGCTGAACCTCATCTCAAAAGAGCTCGTGATTTTCCCTGAATTTCCACGCCGCTGATCTCGAGGTTTTTCCCGGTTTTTGTTTTCAACACTTTTACCTCTTTTATTCTCGCCTTCGTTTTTGTTTTTTGTTTCTTTGTCTTTGTTTTGTTTTGTGTTTTATTTAAGGTGACTTCCGGAATGTTGGTAGTGTTTGGTTTTACTGAATTTGTGGAGTTAAAGAATGGTAAGGGGGGGGGGGGAGAGCGAGGGGGATGAGAAAGGAAGAGAGAAAGAGAGAAGAGAAAGATAGATAGATTGAGAGAGAGAGAGAGAGAGAGAGAGAGAGAGAGAGAGAGAGAGAGAGAGAGAGAGAGAGAGAGAGAGAGAGAGAGAAAGAGAGAGAGAGAGAGAGAGAGAGAGAGAGAAAGAGAGAGAGAGAGAGTCTCACAGAAAGGCAACAAATGCAAAAACAGACACAGTCCAGAAGCGAAACCAAGTCCCTCGGAGCACGCGCCCGCGAGAGGTCCCGCCCGGTGGTGAGAATGCAATTAACGGTCCTTCTTCCCCCGAACACAGACAGACACAAGGTGAAACGTCACGATCTCAACATCTTCCTTATGTCTCTCCTTCGCTGCGATTTATTTTTAGTTCTTCCTCCTTCTTTTCTTCGTCTTTTGTCGTCTTCCTTCCTCATCTCAATCATCCTCACCCACCTCTACCCCCACCGCCTTCTTCCATCTCCCCCTCTCCCTCGCCTCCTCCTCCTCCTCCATTTCCCCTTCCCTCCCTCCCTCGCCTCCTCCTCCTCCTCCTCCATTTCCCCTTCCCTCCCTCGCTCGCCTCCTCCTCCTCCTCCTCCTCCTCCTCCTCCTCCTCCTCCTCCTCCTCCTCCTCCTCCTCCTCATCCTCCCCCTCCTCCTCTGTCGCCATTACTTATCGTGACGTGATTCCGCGACGGAGCTCGGAGGTCCTCGTCGCCTGCGGGTGTTCGCCTTTTGGTTCATCGCTTCCTCTCTCTCTCTCTCTTTCTCTCTCTCTCTCTCTCTTTCTCTCTCTCTCTCTCTCTCTCTCTTTCTCTCTCTCTAAATTAACAGAAAAAATGCCAACAGAATGGCGAGTGAAAAAAAAGAATCGAAAGATGAAAAGACAGAAAACTAAAAAAAAAAAAAAAAAAAAAAAAAAAAAAGATAGGGGAGGAACTAAAAAGAACAAACTAATAAGGAAGAAAGACACCAGAAAGGCAGAAAGAGAACAAACAGACGAGAGAATGAGAAGGCGAGCATCCTTAGGGCCGAGCGGACGCGACGCCAAAGAATAACAGAGCGAAGGAAGCTGGAGCGCGAGGGGGGGAGGGGGATGGGGGGCGTAGGGGGGAGAGGGGGGGAAGGGTGACAGGCGTACGATAATCTCCTTCTTTTTCAT